CTGAGGCTCCAATACTTTGGCCATCTCATGAGAAGAGAGGACTCCCTGGAAAAGACCTTGATGTTGGGAAAATGTGAAGGCAAGAGGAGAAGGGGACGACCGAGGATGAGATGGTTGGACAGTGTCATCGAAGAAACCAACATGAATCTGACACAACTCCGGGAGGCAGTGGAAGATAGAAGGGCTTGGCGTGCTCTGGTCCATGGGGTCACGAAGAGTCAGGCACGACTAAATGACTAAACGAACGAAGGAATAGTTACTCCTAAACTAGCATACTTAAAGGGAAAGTGCTAAAAAAATACCAAAAACACTGTCATTTTAGAAGGTGTGCTATTTCAGTGTAAATGTGTGCACAGATGGTAATCTTATGTTGACACTATACTTCAGATTGCAAGCAGAAGGGAATGTTTCTCCATGGGAGTGAAGGATTCTTTTGCACCCACTTTATGTTCCCTTTTTCCAAAGACATATTTCAACTGAGTTTCTGTATCTCTGTAAATATACCATTTTATTTCCTATTTGCTACCATCTTATTTGCTTTCTCCTTTATGCATTATTAAAAGTCCTGAATTTATTATGTTTAGTCTTCCCTTCTACACTTTTATGAATTGAACTGGTTTTAATATACAAATATATTCATTGTTATTGTTTTCAATACAGTACTGAAAAACAGAGTTTGAACTCCAGAGTAATAGATATCTACTCAAAAGTCAACAACCAGAGACCTCAGACCTATGCTTATTGTATACAACCCAATTCTGTATTTGAAATTAGAAACTTTAATCTCAATGAATTCAGTGGGAATTGAGACAAGTTCATGGAGAACATAGTCTTCCCACACCTTATGTGAGAGTTCTGCTGCAGCAAGACACAGCTTCCTAGAACTGCCCAGTCTAGTTGCAAAGGAGTCTCTGGGGGGGAAAGGAAGTAGGTATCAAGGATCTAACTAGCTTTTTTGCAAACATACGAGTTCATCCTGAATAAACATCTGTAAAGAACAGCTGCCCATTACAGCCCTTACCCCGTTTGTGATCCCACTATAGCATTATTCTTGTCCTCGAGAACGTAGGGTCATACAGTAATGCTTCGGCGTACTACAATACCTCTTCACTACCTTCTATGCGTTCGTAAGTGTTTTTAAGTTGTTCTAAGCAGTTCACATAAGCTCGTCTTCTTATAATTTTGACATTTCCCTAAAAAGGCGTAACTCTATATTGGGAGACGAGTGGAGATAACTAGCCCAACCTCAAATATCCCTGAAAGTGTGGGATTCGCACTACATATTTTCCGGGGCGACATCGAAGACTGTGGCTCTCAAATTCATATCAATTTGATGGCAGAGAAGCTGAAATTAACGCGGTGAACCTCATGCTCACTTGCTCCGTGGGTAACTGACTGACCTTGCCGGAGGTGCCATCGCCCAACACCACGAACTTTAGCTGCCGGTCAGAGCATTCCTCCTCCTCGGAGTCCGACATAGCGCCGCTAACTGACGAAGAGGAAAACCCCCGCGATCATTCAATCAACACCTAAAACGACACCGCCATCTTCCCGCCCTCCCCCCGTTGATTTCGCTAAGATCAATATTAGACTAAACTATCACACACAAAAGGAAAGGGGAGAGGAACCAGGGAGGGCGGCTAAACAGCGCCATAAAAACGAGCCACTCCCTGCAGAAGATAGAGAATTCGATAGCTTAAAAATAAAAAAAAGCTCTGCGGAAAAGCAAAAAACAAAAATCATTGCTCCTTGTCCTCTGCTACAGTGTGTATTCCCCCTTCTCTCTAAACTAATGGTTTAGTCCGAAGGCCTGGAATGAAGAGTCGCAGTGGCCTGGTTTCATAAAGGCAGCACGGTAACTAAGGCCTATGGAGGGTGAAAGGTGGCGGGAAAGAAGGAAGGAATGTTCTCCTATTCACAGTATGAGCGGGGCTTAGGAGGAAAAAGCGATGCGAGCGTTGCTTTGAATGTAAAGGACTTATGTTTCAGAAAAGGACAAGTAAAAGAAACTGCAGTATCCAAAAACTTGTATTACATAATACAGTACTTGTTAGTTTACTGCAGAAGTCCAGGGATTCACAGAACAGAAATAGCTTCAGGTTCCCCACAGAGTAGTCGACTCCTTTTTCTCATCAACTTGCACTTATGGTCTCAATAAGTAACAGTGACAAAGAATAAAAATGTTTTGTTTACTTAGAGTGAGCAAATAACACCAAACTGACAGGCTGTCTCAGCAACACGCCTAAAACAGACTAATTGCTCCCAACAGATTCAGGAAAGAGAGCTAGAGCAGAGAAATTGTGCTTTCTTTGAATTCAGAGGCAGGACTGAACTATCCTGTTTCCCCAAAAATAAGACCTACCCTGAAAATAAGCCCTAGTATGATTTTTCAGGATGCTCCTAATATAAGCCCTATCCCAAAAATAAGTCCCAGTTAAGTGAAACCCCACCCTCCACCAGGGATTCATTGTGCAGCAACCAGAAGATGGCATGATGGTATTTGAATAAATGTAGATTGTTGTACACGAAAAAAATAAAACATCCCCTGAAAATAAGCCCTAATGTATTTTTGGAGCAAAAATTAGTATAAGACTCTGTCTTATTTTGGGGGAAACAAGGTATTCGGTAGTGCTAGATACATCGACATTCTCCTAAACCTGCAAAGCCACACCTACTAAAGGCAGAATGTGATGTTGCAGTAAGTCCTGTGCCCAACAATACTTGCCAGCCTTACTGGGGGAGCTTGGTTTGGATTCCCACTGCCTTGCAGGACTGGGCCCATACTACTTCTGGCTCTTTTACTCACTCCCTCAACCTTGCCTTGTCACATGTAGGAGATTATTTCCATGTTCCAGTGGAAGCTGTTGGGAGTTTTGGGAGTGAGTTGTTTACTTTAGCCAGTTTGAATAAGAGATGGGAGTCTGAAGTAGAAGTTAGTCTGTGGGAGTTAGAGAGTGTCCTATAGTGAGGAGTTAAGGAAGGCAGTTAAGAGTGTGGAACTAATAGAAAGTTAAGAGAGTTAAGAGTTATTAATCTAATGAATACTTTAAAGTCTGTGAAGAATCAGTTTAAGCGAAGTGCAACCAATAAACCTGTTTAGTTCAACTTTATACTCAGCTTGGACCTCAATCTTTCTAATTAAAGGGTGTTGACAGAGATCAACTGGTGACTACATAAAGGAGAAAATGTGTGGCAGGCCTTAGGCTAGTGAAATAATTTGGGGCACGCAAGGGACACATCACAATATCTATGCTCAGGATCCCTCAAATTTAGATTTCTTCATAAAAATTATGGCTATTCTTGATTTATTTGTTCCATTTACAGTATATTGATCTCCTAAAAATGTATGTTTGATAATATCCTGATAATATTTAACTCTTTCTCATTCCTTATTTGTTCTATTACTGTATGTACTTCGATTGATTGTAATACTATTATGTTTTACTATAAATACTTTTATTGGAAGCCGCCCAGAGTGGTCGACCAGACCAGATGGGTGGGATATAAATCAAATAAATAAATAAATAAATCCTTGTTTTTTTCTGATGCGTTTCCTGTAGTAATGCCACATTTGCTCCCAGACTGTGAATAGTTTTTCATAATTCTATAGCATTTAGCTGGTGAGTCTAGAGTATTCATATTGTATGAAATTATATTAAAGTTATCCAACACTGGATAACTTTTTCTTGGTTAGTTTTGCTTCCTGTTCTCTTGTGGATATACAAGACATTACGGATTGTAGACTTTATGCCACCTGAAAAGCAGCACCAGCAATTTGTTCTACTTTGATTTGATGCTTGATTTAACCTCCGAGAGGGTTTTGTTTTAGGGGTATGATTAGACACTTCATTATCATTTTGTAAATCTTTTCTTAATTGGTTTATAAGCAGCTTCATCTCATAATTAGCTTCATTAGTTTCTTTCTGCCCCTTCATTCTTTCTTTCTGCCCCTTTCCCTTTTTCTTTCCAGATGCCTCCTATTCATTCTCCAACTCTTCCGATGACCCAGTTGAATTTCTTTGATCCTCCTAGTTTGCATTGATTTCCAACATATTTAGTTTTAGTATCTTCTTTGGTTCCCCATAAATATGCAGGTCTAAGTATTTTCCTTTTCTGTTTACAACTTTTCAGGCTTAATTACTCTTATTTTTTTCAGGTTTAGAGTGGATCTAATCTTCTATGTCGCCATCTTCATTGACAGCAAACCACACCTCTCAAACTAACTAGATTCAGATGGAGGAGTGAAAATTGATGAAAGAAAGGTCAGTTATTTAAGATATGCAAATAACACTATCTTACTGGCAAAAAAATAGCAAAGACTTGAAATGACTTCTGATAAAATGCAGGGAGGGAACAGCAACACTGCCACAAAAAACATTGCCACTGCTTTAGTTATATTAGATTTCTTATCCGAGAGTAAAAGTACAACATAAAATTCTCTGGACCTCTCTTGAAATTGTTGCAATATAGGCTGGAGGACATCACTCCAAATATCTTGATAGAAAGTGTACTTTAAGAGGACATGATCAGCACTTTCAATTTCCGCCTCATTGCAAAGGCATGCATGATTAGTGACTGGCAAACCCTGATATTTACTTTCTAGTAGTCTAGATGGAAGTACATTTAACCAAGATGACCTTTGTCCAGCACCACTAAATGTTCTTGGAACTCGACATCCCAGAGACTCTATTTGATGGCTGTCTTGGCATTAGCATGGCCCATCGCTAAGAGGACACCTGGGAGAAGCACAGCCTCAGTAATTCAGCAGATAGATTCCTCTTCCAAGTTGCTTGGAAGATGTTTGCTAATATCAAGGGTGCCAAACCTGTTGAAGCAAAAATAAGTTTCAACCGGTAATAATACATGTGGGCCAGAGCACATGCTGTGATGGAAACTAACCCTGCCTCCAATCACAGTGTAACATTCAAGATACATAGAGATGGCACAAAGATCCTGTAGCGAACAGCCCTGACCTGACCTGTCTGTCACCGCAGAACAGTGGAGAAGGAGCCAATGAGAGGACGGAAGGCAGAGCCAAGGGGGGAGGGAGATGGATATAAAGACTGGTGGCTGTAGGCTGAGAGAGTTTCTGGTAGAGAGAGACAGTGTGAAACTTAAAAGTGAACTAAGAGTGAGTTAGAGATCTGTAAAAACGCTGAATGGAATAGAGAGTTAAAAGAGGTTTAAAGTTATAGCAGTTTGATTCAAATATAAGTGATTAGCAGCCTGTGATTTTTCTCTTGAATATTAATCATATATTAACTTCCCTAATCTAATAAATGACTTAAGTTTTAAAAGCACATATGTCTCCATGATTAAATGGTATTAAGGCAGTAATACCTGATGGCAGCGAGGTAGGAAGAAGAGCGAGAACCTTGTGAAGGCCTGGGGGGATAGGGGCTTCAGAGGAAATCGCCACAGATCCCTCTCAGAATCATTGTCTGTACTATTTCCAATGGCTTCAAATTAGAATATGTGAACAGTTGAGCCCCATAAAGAATTTGGGCTATAATTTTAGCTTTGAAGATTTGAATCACTGATGGTACATACCGTCTACCCTTAGTGTAGAAGAACCTCAGTACTGTGCACTTGATGTTACATGGTTCAAATGGGAGGACCATGACCCTGAGGAATGAAATATCATACCTCAATTGTAACAGGATACTTGCTCTATGATGTTCCCATTTAAAGTCATCTGTATTTGTTTCATCTTCTGCTAATAATCATAATCTTTTATCTTCTCATAATTAATCAATAGTTGTTCTTTGGAGCTATACGAGGCTAGGGCTTTCAAAATTCTCCATAAACTCAGACACAAAGTTGACATCAAGATTGTATCATCCTTTTGATTCCTGACTCTGGGCAGAGTACATCTGACAAATAAAGCTAAAGGCAGACCCAGGGAGCTCATGACCAGAGCCCATGAACAGGAGAGCAAACAGGGAGTTTACTGGGGGAGGCCCCAAACAATTTTTTTGGTTCCTTGACAAAAACAGTAAGTGGATTTTACTCTAGAGTAACAACAAGAAAGGGCCTGAAGTAACCCCTAGGAATTGCCCAGACAGAAGCGCCACATACTTTAAAGAGCTGTTTGTTCAGTAGAACAGGAAAGGGTGTGTCCTTAACAGGAAGAGCCATGTGATTGGTCTAAGAGAAAGGGGAGTGTCCTGATTACTGCTGAAGTCTACTGCTGAAGTAACAGCTGTGAGTTCTGGGAGGGCCTTTTGATTCCTGACTCCGGGCAGAGCACAGCTGACAAATAAAGCTAAAGGCAGACCCAGGGAGCTCATGACCAGAGCCCATGAACAGGAGAGCAAACAGGGAGTTTACTGGGGGAGGCCCCAAACAATTTTTTTGGTTCCTTGGGTATATGTACAACTACATTGAAACTAACAAAACAAGAGGGATATGTATCATAAACAGTTGAAAGTAAAAAAGCTAGAAGGGATTATGGAGTGTGGAGACAAAACAGCTGTGGTTACCTGCAAAGTTTGTGCTATGTTTGGCTTTCTTCCTGAGTGTAAAATGCTATATACACGTAACAAGTGTAAACTGGTGACACTGATAGAAGAGAAAGTCAGAGACCTGGAGCAG